CACTTTGATGATAAAAAAAACCAACTACTTTGAATTACTATATCATAAATATAAACCATCAATCCTTCAATTATGAGTCAAACCACTTACAAAAGTTCAAACCTACAATCTAAAGTTCAAATCGTGTCAGAACCCTTTGAAACAACAAAGATCCAGTCACAACCGTTTGAAGCAACAAAGATCACCTTTGTTCATTAACTTTCAGCCCTGCAGATTAACAAATCGGCAATATAAACCATTTAAACTAAGTTCTCATGGCAAAATGCATGAAATATGCAGGCAATGGAATTAAAAGCCTTTATATGGAAGCAATAGAATTTAAAAGCACAGAAAATACATTCTGTAAATTGCATCTAGTAGTACCTTTTAAGGATTGCTACCTCTGCTGTCTCAGACCGCCAGTCGAAGAGTGGGCAGAATACTGAGCTATTCAGCAGTTAAGTGGAAGTTAGTAGCAGATCTTTACATCACAAAAGAATTCACAGACACGTTTAGGCTGCCATTGCCTTATACGTATTGATCAAATAGCAATGTAATAAAACAAATCGTAAGCTAGAATCCACGATAAGTTGTTAATCTGATGTCAAACTATACTTAACATGAGATTGCTCCCAAGTTTACCATGAGAAGTTGTGAATCTGCCATTGCCGCAAAACATTTCCAGCTGCACTGATTCATTGCTTTACTCTGTAAACTGACAATCAAAGGGAAGATATGCATTCTCCTAACTCCAAAACACAAAACAAAGTGAGGCCTTAGTTGGGAGAAAAACATATCAGGTTAAGGGCCATCACCATCGAACATAATAAAGAAAATTGCTTATGTGCCTACCTCTGAATTGGTGGTTCCATTTCATCTTTGTTGTTAGACTACCTTAATGATACAAGATGCCTTCCCCTGAAGATCTCGATAGACCCTCTTCAATGTTGTTGCATTGAAGTTGTTGCTCCTGTAACTGACAGACCAAACCCAGCATTAGAGGAAAAGAAAGGGATTCAGAAAGCTTAGAAGGCTCAAGATTTTCTGGAAACAACCAAGATTCTCTATACATTCACAACTCAGTTTAGAAAAGTACCTTGAGTAGTATATCAGTGTCTCGTGGCATACCATGAGAACTAACTTGCATTGATGATCCAACGCCTTCTGTGTGCATCCAGAGTTTCTGCATAAGAAAAAAAAATTCTACAACAACCTAACAAAATATGCCGAAATACAATGATAATCCCCAGAAAATCAACTTGAAGAAACACATCCTTCTAGTGAACTTACAGAGCATCATCCTGTTCCTCTACCACTATAACTGATAGTATACACTTACAATTCACTTATAGCACAAAACATGTACTTTGCTGCATAGTTAGTAAATACTCCGTTTAATACACGTATATGTACCCGTACGTACTTTATCCGTTTAAAACTTCCGTATCCGTATTATTGTCAAGCCGTTTCATTTGTTTCCGTTCATTTGACGACTCCCGTACTAAACACGTATAAAACCCGTATAACACGTTTAATATCCGTATTTAATGAAATAAATTATTAATTTGACTATTTTTTACATGTTTATTTATTTTTAAAAATAATTAATTTTATATATTTATGACTATTAACGTACTATTAAACGTAACATTAGCTAAGAGACAAAGTATAATACCCGTACGTATCTTATACGTAACTTTTCCGTACCGTATTTTACTAACTATGCTTTGCTGAGAAATTGACGTAATCAACGCATTGACGGAAGATACAGGTTGTCATTCACTTACTCCTTCAGAGCATACAAGTGTACTTTCTAGGAGGGATCTCACTAACCCGAAATCTATGAAACTGAAAACATACCAACAATAGTAATAGATCAAATCATATCCTAACGCCGATTGATGAGAGGCTCGGTGATGAGAGGGTCAGTAAAGTTGGTTTCCTTCTGAATGGAATCACCAGAGCATAAAAGCCACATAAGAACAATGTCTAGGATCTAGATGTGTCAAAGATAGGTGAGATAGTATAGATGTTCGTTCAACATAATTGCTGCACAAAAAGAAGGATAAGTAAGAGCTAGAGGAAGGAATTAAGGTAAAGAAACAATAGAAGACCTTACGAGAATAGGAGTCATACGGAAAAGTTAAGTTGAGGTTATACTCATTTTGTTAGCAAGTACATAGCCCAATAAGTTCTGAAAAAACACAAGCATATAAGAAAATAGTTAAAAAGCGTATGTAGAGCTCCTAATGGATGCAAAGGTGAGAATGGCTACCTGAGACTTATTCTTCTTTTCCAATTCTTACTTCATGGCCTCACTGTTGTACTACCTTCACATACGGTGCCTGTAAGAGGTTAAGAATGATTGGTCTCCAAAATTCAATCACATAGCTTGCAATGATAAAAGTTGTATTTTGAGGGCGGAAGTCATTAACATAATAAACGAACTTTTACCCTTTACAGGTCAAACATGGCTGAAACTAAAGTCATGGAGCATAACTGCAGTAAATACCAAAGTGACAAATGTAATGTCAAGATATGAAACTATAAAGCCTTCGAAATTGAGCCAAGCTGCTTCAACCATAATTGCAATGAAAAGTCATGAAGCAGAACACAAAGTAATGAAATCGGGCATATAGATTGTCAACTTAGAAAGAAAACATGGTACATGTAGGATAATCACTAAGAAAGAAAAGTGTTTGACAGTTCTGGATGTGTAAAAAAGGTAACCACAACTTTGAACACAGGACAAGGTAGTGATCATGTGAATAACTCTTTCTAAGTTAGTGGATCATTATAACTCTAAGTTAGGACTTCAAGCCCTGCAAGCCTATCTTCTCTGCACTTCAGTCTACATAACACCATTGCAAAAAATTGAGCCCCTTTGTATTCTCAACACCAGGAATCGAGCCTTCAGCTTCGCCAACTGCGATGAGAGACGGAAGCGAAACCTCCAGCGAATTACCAAACAAAATCTTCATCAAATCAATTGCCATTCGAATCACAGGCTCAATTGAAACCAGATCCACCTCGCCGCTCCCTACCTCCAAAATCTCAAACTCCAAATCTGAGCTTCAATGGCAAAATCGTGACCTAATTTTAGCGAAGCACTTTGGCTTGTTCGTCGACAACGCTTGCGCTGCCCTCTGCGAAGGGCTGCTCGACCGTAGATATCGTTCCTCCTCCATCTTTCTTTCCTCACTTTTCTCAATTTACGGAAGGTTGTATATGGAAGGTATTTCGTCGACTGAAATTGATTTGAGGTTGTATAATAATAATAACTAGCTTTCCTTGCCCGCGCTCCGCGGCGGGATTTAGAACACATTGGTAAAACTGAAAGGTATTGTATGTACACTTATGATTGATATAATGAAAGCTTGGTTTACATCTGTAGTCAATTTTAAGTCACAGAATTTCCAAATTTAACATCAGGTTTTGTGCTGCAAAATTTCGATGAATAGCTGCAATTGGTTCCATTAAACAGGTCACGATTCAATGCAGGGTAAAATCAAACTTGTCAAAGCCGTTTAAGGAGATATTAAAAAGCTGGAAATATCTATATATTACCGAAGTAAACTTGGTACGGGCAGAGCACAAACGATCTGAGCACAATTAGAGATGAAAATGCCTTGTCAATTGTTTGCAGATGGTTTGTTTGATGGTTGGTCTTTCTGTTGTAAACTTGTAATACATGTCCCCAACAATCACCAACTGGTAGCTCTTTCTAGTTTCTCACATTCATAACACGGAGGACATGAAACTCTAATACTAACACACATTCAATGGAACTCTTGCAAAAGAAAGAAAACGATTGCCACAGAAAATAAGAAAAAAAAAATAGAACTGCTAATAATCAACGCCACATTATTTGGGAGTCTATCAACATTACACTGGAATAACTCATTAAAAATGATCTCCATGAATAGAAAAGATGAACACATGAGATGAAAGACCCAAATGAAAATTTGACCAAACTGCAAGGAATTAAAACCATAAGAGATTCAAAATCAGCAAACGGATTGAAGACAGTCTAATAACATCTGAATTAACAGATTTACTTCATTAAGCTTGACACGAGGAGACCAATAAAGGACCAGAAAATCAAATGACATGGAACAAAATAAGTTACTTTGGGAAGAAAATGCCACGACCTTCGAACTGGGGCATATCATGCACCAATTTCCCACCTTCCTTTTTCTTTCTGCTGCCTCTTGTTTTATCTTGAAATTCCCGGACTATTGCAGAATACCACTCCTTGAAAATGTGGTTGACTTTCACATACCAAAAAAAAGAGGATAAAGAGACTGAAAAATGAACGACACCAAAGATAACGGTAAAAATGAAAAACAGACAGCATGTAGCAACAACCGCACTTAACCAACTCACACCACAACAGTAAGTTTCCCTAACTGCAGATCCAACATCAAACTCCATAACCTGCTGCTTCACTCTCTAATAGTGAACTCCAAAACCCAAAAACGCCATCAGTAGCTGCAAATTAAATTTGGATAAGAAAAGTGAAAACTGAGATGGATAACAGGGGGCTTGAGAGGGTAAGAAAAGAGATGGAATGGAGCCATCGAGGAGAGATAATAAACCTTGCAGAGTACTTTGGTCACCGCCACTGGCAGAGATTAAGATAATCTTGCGGACCATCGATAAGTCACTACGGCATTAAATCTGTAAGAGGAAGGGGAAAGAGTAGGGAGCCAACATTTACATTTCCTAAAAACAAAAGAGCCATACAACGATATCGGAATTACACTGGAACCGGCAGATCTGGCTCACCAATATATTGCAAAGTGAAAGGGACCGGTAGTATTCCAAGCCACATCGCTCAGGGTTCTGATCGTGGCTTGTTGTGCGATAGATAGCCTTTGAAGATCCAGGTGGAAAATCACTTGTCGAAGAGCGAGAGAAGGAATCATAGAACTCTGATCCACTTAACCAAAAAAAGAAAAATCTCTGTTACTGAGTATCGGAAACGAATGAAATCCAAAGGATCAATAGAACAGACTTACTTAGGGAGATGCAACTGCAGGATGCATTTCCTCTGTTGGAGAGCTCGGGGCCTATGATGAATCTCGTCAAATCTCATGAATCTCCCTTGAAAAATCGATCGTCTAAGCATACCAACTGTCAAGAGCTTTCTCAGGTGAGAAACCGTGTGAGTGAAGATGAACATGGGAAGAAAATCGGAGACCAGTGTTAAAAGAATATGCGACTAAAGATTGCAGAAGATAGAGACGATGCAAAACCATAAAAATTCTCACCCTTAACAATCAGGGCTATCAATCTGGTTCCCGGCGATCAATCTCGTCGCCCCGGCGTGCATCCTCACCCTTAACAATCAGGGCTATCAATCTGGTTCCCGCCGAATGATCTCGTCGCCCCGGCGTGCATCCTCTCCAACGTGGATCTACAATCCAAACCATGGATCATTAGATCGCTGGCCTATGGCTCTGGCCCAGACAACATACCTTGTAGATTCGATTCCTCTCCCAGCCTCTCAAACTCTCCTCCTCCAGTTGATCGCTCCAAGTTACTGATTTTTGGAAGGGCCATGTGAGGAACACAGCAGCGAGAAGTATGAGAAGGAGAGTGGTGAGAGGAAAATATTGGGAAACTAAATGCACTCCTTCTTCTCCAATTTTGGGTGAATACACTCCTGCTTTGACCCTCTTTGAGTCTCTTTGCTCATAAATAGGAAAAAAATGAAATCTAAGAGAAATAGGAAGCAGATGGGGTAGGTGAAAGGAATGGCCAAAATGAAAGCTACGTGGCTCTTCTACCAAACAAACAATTTCCTTTCTCTCAGCCTCCTCCATCAGTCTACTCTCATCAGTCCCCTCAATTACCTCATCAAGACATGCCTCTCTTCTCCATCGGCCTCTGCAATCGGCACAACTCCCACCCCAAAGACCCTCACCTAGCCTTCGAGCCATATGCAGAGATACTGAGCAGCACAAATCCTTTCAATCAACTTTCCAGTCCCTCTCATTGCGCACCATCTCTGAGATATCCCATCTCCCAGCACAGTCTCTCCCAAACCCGCCAGATCTCCCACAACTCAACGATCCCTACCCAGCAGAACACCCACAGAGTAACCGAAAAACCCTCGATCCACGTGCCCGCCCGGGCCAAAGTTACATACCGATCTCTGATGACCAACGCGCGTCCGGGCCACCAAACGATCCCAACTAAGGCCAACCAGAAGCTAACGACCAGTCCCACTGACACGCCAAAACACAACACCAAACTGCGACCAAGTGTAATCGCAGTCCGGGAATGCAGTAACTGGCAAGTTATATTATCAACCCGGGGTCTAGATCTACTGCTTACTCCTTGATTGTCTATTATCTAGCAAACTAATTCGAGTGATTGTTGTTTAAAGCTAAAGCAGTAAGAAAGCAGGTAATAATTCGGTTTTCAAAGTCAGGAAAGAGTCACTCGGGATTGAGTCCCCCTAGCCCCTTAGTTAGGTCCAATTGTAATTCCCCTGGGTTGATTCACTGTTGATTAGACTGCGGAAGTTCCGACAGTAGCTTGGAATCTCTTAAGCTGACCAAGCCCTCTCAGTCTAACTACCCGGCAGACGACTAGTCTTCACCGGGATAGAAAGCTGAGGCTATGAACACAGAACTCCACTACTGGAATTGAATTCCAGTACAAAGCAGTAAACTGGCTAACTCTCGTATAGCCAATCTCCTACTATCGAATGAAGAGGCTCTAACAACCTAATCAGATTCTATCTATCTCAGGTTGCAGCAGAAATCGAGAAAAGCTGATCAGACTCCAATCAATTCAATAAACATGCATCATTCGATTAAAATCAAACAGTAATATCATCCCAAGTTATTACAATCAAATCCCTAACAAAAGGAACTAGGGTTCTTCATACCCAAGTGAGAGAAGGGTTCTACTCCATAGAGAGAGAAGAGAAAACAGTAATCGTAGTAGTCATACTCATAATGATGAGGAAAATCTGCTCCGGGATGATGATTTCCACTCCTATGACGATCTCCAAGCTCGATTCGGTGAAACCCAGCTCCAAGATAGCTTCTAGGATGTGTTCTTCGCACTTTCTCTCTCTAGGGCTCTGTTTTTGCTCTAAAAATCCGATTCCCTCACTTTTGGCTCGAAATTGGCTCAAAAACCAGAATTCCCCGACTCACACGGGCAGGCCACACGTCCGTGTGGCTCACCCAACTGGCCGTGCGAGTCAAAACACACCGTCCCATTAAGTCGATCTTCAGCCATCTCACACGGCCAGGGTTGCACGGCCGTGTGGATTTCCTGGGTAGCCCGTGCGTGGTCTCGGCAAAAATCACACGGCCACTTTGCTCACTGGCACGGCCGTGTGAAAGCCAGGGTTGCCCGTGCTTGCTCTCGCACAATCCCACACGGCCTGGCTTGTCACTTGCACGGCCGTGTGATGCCACGGTCTGCCCGTGCAGCTTCCTTAGAACCTCGCCATGCGTCCGATCCTCGTCCAATCGACCCCAAACTCGCTCCCAAGCCTCCATTCACGTACTAGGACCTGAAATATCACAAACAAGCACAACCTAGCGTGAAATCGGCCTAAAACACGAGAATCAACACCTCAAACGGTGTAAGAACGGGGGTAAAAACATGTGTAACTAACGGTCTATCAAACTCTCCCACACTTAACCGTTTGCTTGTCCCCAAGCAAACCAAGTCAGACACCAGGTAAGCTTACATATTTCAATCAACCAACATTGGGGACAAGTCATAAAGGCACAGAACACGTGAATCGTACTGGTTTTCAAACATCAACACATGAACAACCTCAATAACAACCTGGATAACCACCACAAAGGACATTCGAGTGCAGCAAATCGAGTAAAGGAGGAGTCTCCCTTCTGTTCACCAACCAACCTAGACTTGACTCAGCCACTCACTCAAAACAGTCAACTCATGCATCCAACCCAAGACATCAGAACAGAGACCGAGCAATCTAGGTCCTCACCGGGGTACAAGAGTATATAGAATATGAAAATGAATCACTCACTCTCGACCAGTGGGGTCAGGACAATTTGATGCGAAAAATGCGCATGCTATTTCTCTCAATCCCTATAATCTCTTCACCATGATGACAGCCTCTAAATGCTAGAGTTCACATATGGGGTGTCACCACTAACTAATCAAGAGGTCTTAGACACAGGTTCAAATGACTGGCTAGGGTCTTGGACATGGGGAAAAGGCCTTTTAAGTGGTGGAAGTATTCATAGCACAAGGTTCCACATTTCCAAACCCACACAATCGCAGTCAAACAAACCGGTATTTTCTTTCTGCTATTCTGCAATACTCAACATCTCAAGAGCACAAGAGCGAAGGAGGTATAAACATCAGCATTTCCAAGCTAGACTGCTAAGAAACACTACTAAACGGGCATTATTCAGATTTTTGGTAGTGGCTCTCTTTTGCTTTCAATTTTTTTCTTTGTTTTTCTTTCATTTTCTTTCCATTTCTTAAGAGAGCCACCACTTCTGCACATATTTCAAACACCTGCCCAACTTTTAAACACTACCTCCAACACTCACATAAACTTTAGCAGAAACAGCAGAGAATATGTAAAAACCACTCTGTGGAACCTTCTAAAAGATGGAACAAGGGTGATTTTTTCGTTATAGACCAAAAGAAAGGATAACACACGGCTCAAAGGGGCTGACTAGGGGATATGACACATCTGGATAGTCAGTTTTGGGCGTGGGCTAATCCTATGCCCCCATCATCTTAGCTAATGACAACGTGAATGATACACATCATGGAAGAGGGATCTATCGCACAAGAAAGAAACGAGCAGGCTCAAATCTCACATGGCTACCTATATGCTCTATCTCACATTCTGATACCCTGAACTAGATGCATAAACGACTGTCAAGAACAAGTGATCAAATCAAGTCACAGTTGGTAAGCAAACAGTTGAAAAACTGAACCCCTACACAATTCTACTGCACATCTCAGTCCTCATCATCGGTTGTCCTAGTCACAAACAAGTTGTCATGCATTAATCCGAAAACCAATCAATTCATCAATCAAAACACAGTGCCAATATGATCAAACAGCAGTACTTGGAGCCCTCAAATCGTAAGATTCGGACAGCGGACTAGGCTCCAAGCACACAGATATATATTCCAACCGATACAAAGCACCCCCCCCACACTTAAGCACGACATTGCCCTCAATGGAGTAGAGGGGGAGATAAGGGGAACGATGTTACCGGATTGAAACACTGCTGGGGGACTGGAAGTGGACCAGTCAGCGGGGCTAGCATCACCAAAACACACTGGGTGATAGAAACCATAGTTCCAAGTGGACAAACCGACAAAAACAAACGAAAGAAAAACAAACCTTGGTGGGGTTGCCTCCCCACAAGCGCTTCTTTACCGTCTTTTAGCTGGACGCTAGTATGGATGCTCAGTGAAGTGTAGGATCAGGTGCCTTCAAGAGCGGATCCACATCGCTCTTGAGGTACAGCTTCAAATGGTGGCCATGTACGCGACGAATGTGGCCACCAGCATTCGCCAACTCGACTTGGCCATCCGGTAAGATGCAAGCGAGTGAATACTCGGATGGCCAAGGTGGGGGCGGGACCAGCTCGTAGTGGTCTCCGGCTCTCTTTCGAGCAGGCTTAGCTGCCTGCAGTTTCGGCCGCCACTCCTCCTTGATCTGTTCTTTTGGGGGCGGTGTGGACTGGAGTGGCGGCGAAGGTATGGGAGGCGGATCTTGCAAAATAGGCAACACAGAAGGATACACGACAGACTCGTGCTCCTGGTGAGATACAACATGCAGAGGTAACGAAGCATGTATGGTGTTAGCAACTGAAAACGTTATTCACTCCTCGCCATCCCTCAAAACTAAGGTCCCATCATGCACATCTATAAGGGCCTTGGCGGTGGCCAGGAAAGGCCTTCCCAGTATCAATGGCACATTCACATCCTCATTTATGTCCAAAATCACAAAATCAACAGGATAATTGAATTTGCCAACCTTAACCCGAAGGTCTTCCACTATGCCCCTAGGATGCACTACAG